GGCTGGGCCAAAAGGGGGCAGCAGATACATCCCTAAAACTGAGACATAAAGAGAGAGTCATCAGTAGTTTTGTCTTAGTGAGAATAGATTGTTTGAATTGATCCACTTGTTTTAATGTGCTTCATGTTCTTATACTCAGTGTTTTTATGAGATGTCTTGACTGTGATTGTAGCTGCTGGAACAGAGTCACTTAAAGGAATCATTAATTATCTATATATTGAAACAGGCTCATTCGTATCCCCTTTTCTGTTCATGTGATATGTCTCTAATATTATTTCAGTTTTTTCATCTTGACAATTCAAACATTTTAATGTTGAGGAGAAATTAAAACAGATGTTTTCTCCTCCAGATGCTCCAAAGCTTCCCTCTGTGTCAGTGAGTCCCTCTGCTGAGATAGTGGAGGGCAGTTCAGTGACTCTGACCTGTAGCAGTGATACTAACCCAGCAGCTAATTACACCTGGTACAAGGAGGATGAAGACTCACCAACAGCTTCAGGACAGATCTTCACCATCTCTAACTTCAGTGCTGATCACAGTGGGAGATATTACTGTGAAGCTCAGAACACAAGAGGACGTCATAACTCCACCTTACATGTGCTTGTTGTGGCAGGTAAGTTATTAACATTCACCTGCACCAGACCAGATTCACCTATTAGAAAGTAGTACAAAAAAGGAAAATTCAGAGAGGAACCTCCATCCTGTCAGAGTGTGACTGAATGATGAACAGAGGGTATCACAAAGTAGAAATTAAATGTTTCAATCTAATCCTACCAGTAAAGAGTCTCACATATCTATCTTTAATTCTCAGGGAACTCAACATTCATAATACATATCATCAAGTGGACTCTGCTGCTCTTGATGTTGATTTCTCTGTTTCTCCTGACTCTGTGGACGAGGTAACAATCATTAATATTAATCTGTCATCTCACATTTCTTTTGTTTTATCCCTCAAACTAATTTTAAATTGATTTTTTAGGACCTTCATCATGTTCATTTTTGGATTTGTTGTTTTCTGATTTAATCCAGAAAGAAGAAAACTCTGAACTCCACCACCGAACCAAATGAACCCGCAGAGATGATCGAGGTGAGAGAGCGCGAGAGCGCGAGAGAGAGAGACAGAGAGAGAGAGACCTTACTTATCAATCTTTTCCTACATCACTGTAAAACCTGATGAAACATATTTCTGATCAAATCTTATCGTCTGTCATCAGGTGGATGTTGTGTATGAGAACGTGTCAGCCGTCACTGCAGCACAGACAGAAGACACAGAGGAGCAGGAACACATGCTGTGAAGTCCAGTCAGGTTAGAGCCTCCTGCTCTGAATCAAACAGGCCCACTTCACATTCAGAGTCACAGTTACAACTATAACTTTAGTTTGATGTGATTTTCTCCAGATGCAGTTGAACCAGATGCAGGACTCACTGTGGAGAGCGAGGCTGTGGAGGATGTGGGGGAAGTGGAAACATTGACCTTCAGCAGCAGGAAGTTAACAACAGCATGGAGCAGAGAGTTTAGGAGATGGTTTTCTTTTGCAGCTTGAACTGAATCACTTTGAGATGTTCTGCAAGGAGCTCTCCAGTCACCTTTCAATCTGCTCTATGACTTTTCACTCAAAGTTTAGTTTTTGTAAATATTGGTTTTACCTCTGAATAATCTTATGACTATGATGACGTTTGATTATAAGTCACTCGTCAGGACGTGATAACTTATGACCATTTTTTTCTTTGAAACTTTGGGTGAATTTCTCTTTATATTGTATAATGACAATAAAGGCTTTCTATTTCTTACTGATGTAAAATATGTCCTTCTGCTGTCTCTGTTAGTGATGTGGTTTTCAATGTTATAATCACAGTAAACATCATGAAAAACACAGGATAACAATCATCAGTACAAACTCACAAGATCATTTCCACAGTCACCTCTATTTTGTAGGAGGAACTGACATAAATGTGGTGGAAGTAGTAAAACAGCTGCTTTTTTTGGTCTTAATGTCCTTTGACTATTTTACTGTGCACTGATTGGACACAACACAGGACCTCAGCAAAAACTTTAACTACTCACTGGACCGTACCACAATGCTGCATAGATTTACCTCCACAAACCTTGACTTTAATTTACTGACCAAAGCTTATATACCCTAATAAAGTCCCAAACATACAGATAAATTAATAGTTGAAACCAGCTTCATTTCAGTAAGGTGATTTTAACTGTTTTCCACCCATTATACTGTGGAAACATTGTTTTCAATACTGCATTTTGCTTTAAATTCATTCAGGCAATGTGGTTTATTTGTTTGTGATTTGTGTGTGAGCTGATGTAACCTTGTGTTTTTGTAAGCGTCACCATACGCCTTTAAATCAGATGAGTTTTAATCTGCTACCACATCATTGAGATTGTTTAAATGTGCATACTTCATGCCTAATTCTACAGGCCTGTGACTGAACCTCCAGCTTTGCAAGATTCCAAACCCATTGGTCTGTCCAACAGTTGCACACACCTCGTCTCTTCCCATTAACTTAGCTACCTAGCCTGACAGAGCTGCTCATAGAAGAGAGTTATGATGTCTCACAAGAATGTGTGTCAAATTCTGTGCCAGTTCCCAACAATTTGACATATGAGTGTAGTCTAAATACTGCAGCTCCGCAGTAAAAAAGACACACCCTAAGCCATGATTGAACAAGCTAAACCTGCTAGAAGCAGATACTTGTGTATTTCCTCCTTCTGGGAGTTTCTTCTGTATTGCTTCAAAGTTGTGGTTTGAGAGAAATCCATACTACCCCTCTTAGCGGGTTTGAGTAAACACTGATATACTCCCCTCAAATGGTTGATGTGAATAGTGTGCACAGCAGGTCCCACTGGTGGTTGACATTAGTAATTTGTTATATTGACCCAATCCCTCTGGTGGGTGCAATTTTTTATTACTTTAAATTGAGACTTTGAGCATCCATCTTGTTTGATTTAATTATGAATTAAATTAGGAATATATGCATGTTCCAATTATCTTGTTCTACACAAGACATCATAGTTGAAAGTAAAATAAATAAGTAATTAATATTTGTGTGTTTGTGCAGACTACTTAGTCACTCAGTGCACGAGCCGAGTCCAAAAAGTCTGGACACGCCCCTGCACCCAAGGGTCCCACATTCTGATGAAAATGTGGCAAGGGGCACTAAGGGGTTGGTGTACAATAAACAATAATCTAACTGACCCGACAAAGTCACCCGGGGAATTTCACCCCAGGAAAAATATAAACACCTTATTCAGACAAAGGCAACACAGATTCGACAACTGAAGACAGAGACGTGGTTCCAAATGAAAATTTAGTGAAAACAGAGACTGGGAGTATCTGTTAAGAGATGGGTTTTAGTTATTGCTCAATTTAGGGAGAGGAATAAACAGGTTTATTACAATTTAATTTATTCTAAAATAACACTTTCATTCAAATCATCAGTAGCAGGGAGGCAGCCTAACATCCAAGGGTTTGTTCCAGGAGAGCAATCTACTCAACCACTCATAGCAAACAGGTGCAAACTATTGTGTCTGTAACATTACTGATTGTAAGTCAACATCAAAATTGGGGTCAAGTCCCAGGTAATCTAATAAAACAACTAGATTAATTAAAATGAAAGAAAAAGCTGCCACCAACAAACATTTCACCCCAGACTCTGGCTTTATACAAGAAACAACCCAACTGAAGGCCTCACTATGTTCAATTAAGCTCAGGTGATTTCACTCAGCCTAATCACTCTGCAGGCCACAGTCAGTGTAGGGAAGGTGGGAGCAGGTGAGAAGGTATGGGAGAACCTTTTGACAGTGTCCCAGCACACTTACAACTACAAACAGTGCAGGGAACCACCTAGAGGGCCTAGCCCCACCAGCAGCCACTTCACTAAAAAGGGAAATAAAGAAAGTATTAGCAAAGAAAAGCAAATAAACCAGTTGGTTCAATTAAAAAATAAATACAATTTAACAGCAAATCCATAAAACACTAGTCATTCAAAGCTAAACACTAAAAGCAAAAAACAGCCACCCTAGGCAAAACACTAAGATAAGAAAAACGTTAACAGGCAAAACAGCAGCCGATGAAAGGCCTGAAAGACATAAAGAAACACATTACATATTATAACTCTTATAAAACTAAAAAAACTAAAATAATTAAATGAACATCTTTACCCTATTCAACACTGGCTTCACGACTACCCTTACGCAAAAGGTGACAGGTACCAAGACTTCAGGTAAGTCAACCAACAGGAAAACAGACACTCCAGGAGGGGATTAAATTGTTCCATTAAAATAGCTCCACATCTTAAGTGAATTTATACTATTTTAAGAAGACAAACCTCAGCAAACCAGACACCAGTACACTCGAGGCAGACACGCAGACAGGGGACCGTTTTAAGACAAATTAAACTCTTTACTTTAAGTAAATGCAGAATAACTTAAACAAGCTTGAAATAATCATGAATGCATAACCTACCTCAGAGAAAGGAACATGTGGCAAGCAACAGGCAGACAAGGCCACAGGTACTTTATATGTGGTTCAGCTAATTAAGGAGCTAGACCAGGTGAGGATTTGACCTACTTTCAGAGGCTGCATTCAAGGCCAACAATGAAGAACAGACTAGAACCACTGCTCCCACTACAATAACCCCTTTATTCAGTTTTTATGTCCTGTTAGACAAAAATATGTTTGCACTCAAACAAGTTTGGTACCAACTGGACTTCTTTGTGATGTGAGTTCTTCCTGTTTGTCTTATCAAACATGTTAATCCTCCAAAGAGGAAGGAAATGTAGTCGTTAAAAACACCCTGATATCTGTCTTCTGCTCACTCACTGCAGAGGAGGACAGTCTTCTCTCAGACGATATCCTTCTTCACTGTAAGTAGAATAATTTATCAACATGTCTGATACTGTTTGAGTCCTGCTGTGTTCTTATTAATCTGCTAACATGTTTTATTGTCCCTAAAGTCACACAGAGAGATGAGAGGAGCAGCGATGACTTTAACTGCAGCAGTGAGTGGATTTATCGTCCTCCTCCTCTCTGTGCCAGGTACTTCATATCTACAGTTACATTCATTTAATCTAAAGAGGGAAAATGTGGGACTGATTAATGCAGACTGAAGGTCACCTGTGTGAAAAGTGGATCACAGTTTATGTTAAAGGAAATCTTCTCAGATATACGACAAACAGTTATTTATACTGTTGTGTGGCTTCTCCAGACATTAGTTAGTTTTCAGATTTTTGTTTATTAATGTTTAACAGGAAGATCTTTAGTTGGATCGCCTCTTTTTCGTATTTGTTCTTAAGCAGTTGGTCTGCAAAATTTCTTTCATACAATTTCTATCTTCATATATTTTAAATCCCTTTTAAAGTTTTTTGGATGGAAACTTGTCCCTCATTGAAGTATCTTCTCTTTTTTTAATCAAACGTCTGCACCAAACCCTGCTACTTCATTTTTCAAGTGAAATGTTTCCATGATGTGTTGACAGTTTTTAAGATCGTATCTTTAAGTTTTAGTGTCTGCTCTGTTTCTCACACCTCATAGTTCTGCTTTTTTGAAACAGTTTTCACAACAGCAAACTTACCACAGACCATCCAAGTATGGCAAAACCTCTCTTATAATCATGTCATAGTTTTCACATGACGTCGCATGCTTATGGAACCGCCAACCTGGCGGGCGAGAAAGGCTCTAAGTTATTGGTCTCAGTGGCCACCTACGTGTTTTTTTATCAGTTTAATTTTTCCATGTTTCAAATGAGAGACAGTTGTTGTTGAATGTGATGCACTAACCGACGAGGAGACGAGCCCGGGTTGTTCTTCTACAGAATGTTTGAAAGAAAACCCAGAGAGGAGGAGATTGTGGATTAATGCTGTTAGACGCTCTGCTGTCCCTGTGAGGGAACAAAAGAACAGACTTCTCCTCATCATGACATTAAAGATTGTGTTAACTTGATCTAAATATTCCTGCCTTTAACGAACATTACTGCCCAGAACACTGACTGACAGAGACCCAGATACTATCGTCAGCTAACCTTAACTTATGTTAGCTTGTTAGCACTCACCGATGTTTGGATGATGAAGAATTTCTTGCCCTTCACTTCCTAAACGAGCATTATTGACCCAGCCACATCAAAAATACATAAAACTGTCTTTTCATCCTACAATGGTGAAGGAGAGGGATTACCCTCTAAATATAACATCTCTAAAGTGACGTTCTTCTCTCTGATAATCAATACTTCCTCTTACAACCGTAAAGTTCACAGGTCTAAATAACACATTTAACGTTCTCTACACCTTCAGACTGGATGATGTCTGGTCTCAACGACTTGCAGATTAACTGTAGAAACAAGTGAACATCTTCTACTCTTCCTTTAACTGTATATACAAATGGACAACATCCCTCAGGCTCCTTCTGTTTAACAAGATGAAGCCAAATGATCCTCATGATGGGCGCTTACATATTGCATATTTGCAACCAGAGTCTGCGTAGTAGGGATCCACTGGAAGACGTCATGCTACTTCCTCTAACGAAAACATTTAACGTACAGAGAAACATAAAAATCCCTCAGGTGTGTTCAATCAACAGAAGAACAGATTCTTGTGTCAATTTGAAGCAGACACTCACTGTTATTGAAAGTTCCAAGACTCTTGTGTGTTCGTTACGTCCTCTCTCGCTGTGTCTAATAAAAAACAACTTAAAAAATGACACAATTGATTTTACTATCTACGCAAAACCGGTTTATTTTTATTTTTTTACCCTACATGCATTTAGATTTCATTGTTGACCCCCATGGCCTTTCTGTTATCCTGGAGGAGGCGAGGTTTGACCTATACTGAAGTCAGTCAGCAGGGGGCGCTCTAAATCTTTCTCCTTTGACTGAATCCGTTGCACCGTCAATTTTATGATACAGTCTATTTTTACACTAGAGCTTTCACATTTGAATCATGATTAATCATATCTTTAATCACATGTTTGAAGTTCCATTATTTTACATTTTAAATGTTATGCTTTTATTGTAGATATTATAATGTTTTATGTTAAGGGTGCTTTACTTCCTGTTTGGATACAAACCTGTTTTTTATATGTTGAGACTTTTCCTTTTCCTTTTTCTTTTTAAAGTTATGGATGTTGATGGTTGTTTCCTGATGTGCTCTGTGTTACAGTGGTTCAGGGTCAGGACAGCTGGAGAGTGACTTACTCTTCTCTTCAGATCTGTGCTTATAAAGGATCAACTGTGGAGATGAACTGCACCTTCACATACCCAGAGAGGATAAATAGACAAGTTAACTCACTTCAGAAAACATTCTGGTTGAGAAAAGATGGTTTTCATTACAAAGATGTAGAAACAGTTTCAGAGTATTCAGGTCGTGTGAAGAATATCTGTGATGAGAACAAATGCACTCTGAGAATCACAAACCTGAGAGAGACAGACTCGACTGTGTACAGGTTTAGATTCATAATAAACAAAGACAGTTATTATGGTCACCCTGGGGTCACTCTGTCAGTCACAGGTAATCTTTCACCTCAATATTTCTGAGCTCACTGTTTCTAATACATTATAAATACATGTTTTAATATGTGCATGTTTTGTGAAAACAGTTGACGTTTCTTCACATGTTCAGATTTCCAGGTGAAGGTGAGCAGACCATATAAGGCTCTGCTCTTTCAGTGTCTCAGTGGACTTTCCAGTCAAACCTCCTACATCTGGTTCAGGAACGGACAGAAATTCAAACATAGCACTTCATCTTATTATTCACCAGAGCAGCTTCTTCAGACAGACAGTTACTCCTGTGCTCTATCAGGACATGAGAAGTGCCCGTCTCCTCCAGTGTGTGAGTTTATTTACAGTCTTCACTGATTCACACCATCAGATGGAATCTTTAAACTATTAAATGGTGCCTCATAGCAGCATGTACCTCAGTGGTATTTGTTATTTATTTAGATTTTTCATAGAGTGTCCTGTTTATCTGTTTCAATGTAAAAAAAAACCTTTATTCAGCTGTCATGAGCCTCAATTTCAAAACCAAAAGCTAAGTTAGAATGTAATATGTTCATCATCATCATCTGATGTGGATGACAAAGGTCTCTCTGATTCTCCTCCAGATGCTCCAAAGCTTCCCTCTGTGTCAGTGAGTCCCTCTGCTGAGATAGTGGAGGGCAGTTCAGTGACTCTGACCTGTAGCAGTGATGCTAACCCAGCAGCTACTTTTAAATGGTACAAGAGAAATCAGACCCCTCAATACCTTAGTGAAGGAGCTCAGCTCGTCTTCAGCTCCATCAAGTCCTCTGACTCTGGAGAGTTTTCATGTAAAGCTGAGAACGATCTGGGAAAGCCGACCTATAAATGGATCTCTATTGATGTGAAATGTGAGTGAAACACTTCAAACAGCAACATTCAACATTTGGAGACTTTCCTTACTGACCTGATTTCTCTGTAGTTTCATAGTTTCATTTTAATTTAATTTAATCGTTTATTTGAATCAGGGACAGCGTACAAAAAAAACATTAGTCTCAGAAGAGAAGAGACGCTTTGTACCAGATTTATCTTGCTAGCTAATTTCTGTCTGTTGTCCCTGGGCAGATGATGGCAACAGCAAAATACAAATCAACCAGGCAGTCACACACACACACACACACACACACACACACACACACACACACACACACACACACACACACATTTCATAAGAGAGAAGAAAGACATAGATCAATTTACAGATATTAAAACATTATGTCCAAGTTTCCCTGAGAGCTCTAAAAGGTTGTCGAGATGACACATTAATGCTGACAAGACTGGTTCCTTAAAATAAATTTTTTGACTTTCCGGTTGAAAGTGCAGAAGTTTGTGCAAAGTTCAAGAGTAGTTGGAAGACTATTCCATTCTTTAATGGCTTTAAAAGAAAAAACAGATTGTGCTAAAGCAGAGCCACGTTTAGTAATACTGCAATCTCCGTTAGAGGCAGACCTTGAAGATCTGCGTATCAACTCAGAGCGAAGTTTCACAAAGCTTTTCAAAGGTGGGGGAGCAGCATCATGGATTATTTCATACACTAAGCGGACATCGGTATAAAAAAATAAATTGTCAAAGCTAAGAATTTTATATCATCAAGAATATCACAATGATGATACTGTTGTGGTTTCCTGTCCAGAGTTTTAAGGGCTGGGTTTTAAGGGTTTGCTCACACCTTGATTATCCTGTCTGTTAATGACTTTCAAATCTTCAGAAACCTTTTCACTAAATGCTGTTTTCATTTAAAGGTCAGTTATTAAACTACGTCTCTTTTTGAAGCATGAAAGCTTCCCTCTGTGTCAGTGAGTCTCTCTGCTGAGACCGTGGATGGTTAGAGATCAGGGGTCTCATTTCTAACCGTTGCGTACGCCCAAAACGGGGTCTGAAACTGGCGTACGCCTTTTCCCACGCAGTTTGTGATCTATAAAAACAAACCTGACGGTAAAATGTGCGCACTGGTAAGCAAACTCTGACCCAGGCGTATGTTCATTTTGGAGGCATGGGAATTTGGTGACACAGACGGCGAAGTGGTAAACTGAAACCTGCAGATACAAATTGTTGTTTCTTCCACATTTTATTTCACTAAATATCAAACTTTACTGACAGATCCACGTCATCAGAATCATTCAAACTGACGATTTTATTTATGCTATAATCGCGACAATATATAAACATAAAATAAAAATAAAAAATATAAGTCTGCCTCATACATATTGCATCAGCGCCGTCTCGCCTTCATTATCCCGGACTGACCTCAGAGGACCGGACTTGTACACTAATGTAATCACTGATGTAGAGTTAAAAATTAGACTAATACAAAAACCACAGAGCCTCCAGTTTTCATTAATATCTTTCAATATCGAGCATTTATCATCAAGTGTTGTTTTAGTTTTAAAGATGACTGCGTTAAGACGCACAGAACACAGCGGTGGCTTCACACATTTCGCCTTCTCGTTACTCAGCATGTCTTCATCAGCTGCATGTATTTATTCTGTAAATAATTCAAGTGTGGACATTAAGTCGGGTCATCTCTGACACGATCATTAGGTCTATATATCCTCATAATTAGTCACAGAGCAGACCGAGTTTCCCATGAAAATATGTGGCCAACAATCAAACGTTTTTGTTCGTTGATCAAACTTTTGATTACTAATATGACAGAGTGAGGCAGACTGCTGACTGACGTGACCTCTCTGACAATATGAAGAAATCCAGTGTGGGTCCTGTAAACATGTAAACATTGCAGATATACTTGTGCGTAATGATGAACGGTGGATGTTTTGGCACATAGGACAGCGTGAATGCAGCAGCGACGTGTGTCATTCTCTGATTGGGTGAAGCAGCAGCGACGTGGTGTCACTCTCTGATTTTCTTCAGTTTGTGATCCTCCTGCTGCAGTAAACTATCCATATGTCCATTTTATCCTTCACTTCATTCACAAACTCCTCCGTTTCTGGGTCAGAAAGTTTCTTTTCTTTGTCTAAACTTCCGGGTTTCGCCGCGATCCAGCGCTGGAAACCTTTACTCCGCCCCTCGTTGTATGCATTTTCATTGACCGTTATGTTGATTGTGGGCGTGTAGAGGGCGGAACAGCGGACTATCTATGTGCGCACATTTCCAGGTGGATCGTGATTATAAAGGGAACATTGCGTGTAAGTGTGCGTACGAACGGTTTTATGAATCTGAATCATTTCGTGCGCACGCCATTTCCGGGTTTTTGGCGCACGTACATTTTTAGTATGGATTCTACGCATTCTTTTATAATGAGACCCCAGGGCTGTAGCAGGGAGGATCATCAGTATTTATCACTTTCAAAGATATGTTGTTTCAAAAGGATTTTAACTCATAGAGAAGTTCACATCTCTACAGCTTTAGACTGAGAGAATGTCAAATAAAAGATACTGATTCTAACAGGACATGAGACTAATGCTTCACAGCTGGAATAATAAACTTAAAAATGCTATATTTCTAGTATTTTAAGTTTTAGACCACTGAAATAAACTCTGAAAGATTGAAATGTTCACCAGGCCGGTCTAGACATGGCAATGCCCCCCCCCCCAAATGGTTAGCCTGCCCCACTAAAAAAAAGCCAAATATCCTCCTTTCACCACAAGTTTCAATATAAAAGTTTTTTTTTTT